GATGTCTTCAGAATTGTTACAGGTTTAGATTACAGTAATTGAGATTTTACAATATTTTGCGATATAGACAAACATATCTTTTGACAGATGATGTGCCCTTGAAAAAATGAAAAAGTCATCATTTTGACCCAATAATAAGTCTGTTAATATAATTCTGCTTGATTGCAAATCAGATTATTTTCATTAATATAGTATATTGTATCATTGGATTTTAGTGAAGAATACTGTACATTAAAACGTACAGTAGCTGTAGATACTGTATTACAGAAAGACATGAACAGATCTTTATCCTCTCCCAGGAGATGAATTTCCTGCTTTTCTAATTTCCTGCTATTTCACAGTAAAACATTATACTGTGAGTCCACTGTGACTTAGGTTGCACCTCATCAGAATGTACGGTACAGTTGGACAGCATTTTGCATTTGCTCTGAACCCTAACTGGTTCTGTGCTGCTTTGAAGTATTCTCTTTTATCTTTATTTGCTTGACTTTCAGATTTGTTTCTTTGATTTGACTTTCTCTTGTTCTGTTCTCTTATTACAGTTTACTCCAGAACAGATAATGGGAAAAGATGTGAGACTTCTCAGAATTAAAAAGGTACAGCTTTTTATACTTTATACATATACATATACATACAGTATATGTATACATATACATATACATACATACATTCATACAGTACATACAGTACAGAATATTTACAAATATCTTTGTAGAGAAATTACATTTTCATTTAAACTTGCTGATATCTAGAAAACACCTTTAAACCCATTTTGTTTAAATGCATGCAAAGACAAAAATGTATCAAAAGCATTACAGAATGTAATACTTCCTAGAAATTAACTGCATGGACCTTAATGCTGCAGGCTTACTTAATATTACATTATGATTCAAATACTTTATGGAAAGGTAACAGTTTCTTTGTGACTTTAGTCACACCGACTGTTGAAGTTACTTGTAAACTTAACATTTAAAGATAACTTGTAAAGATTATACTGTATGCATTCAAAATAACCCACTATACAAATTACTTCAGTGCATTGTTTCTCAAATGATTCTTCCACACTTGTCAGCCTCAGTTTTTGGAAAAATATAATGAGGTATATTTCCTCTGATTTATGAGAAATGTGGGGAATTGTTGGTAATTGTGGGGAAATTAGATTTTGCTCCTTAGGCAGAATGACTAAAATTAAGAGAAACAAGTCTTAAATCACACTTTGTCTACGATTAATAAGCATCCACTATTAAAATTGTACAATAACAGATCTTGTTACATACTGGATATGTTGTATTAGTTATAAATAAAAAATAATTGGTATTGTGTACTACCTTCCTTTATGAATTCTAAACATACGGAAATAACTTAATTTTGCTAAAAGTTACAAATGGCAACTATTAAAGTGCATTTAAGTGGTGGAAATCATGTGTGTTATATCCTTGATCAAAGACTGCCTCAAGCTTCTTTTAAAAAAATATATGTACAGTAATACTTCCCACTTTTATCCACGGCCATGTATCATTAAACACACGCTACAGATATTTCAGGCCAGGGATGGTACAGTGACAGAAAAGGCATCAGAAAATTGCTGTGTGAAGATGAAGGCTAGAAGGTCAAAGTTGAAATGTTTCTTAAGATTTATATCCGTTGCGATATCAAGCCAGTCCTTTTTGTTTGTGCTCAGGAAGGACCACTTGATCTTGCTGTAGAAGGAGGGGTAGATTCTCCTCTGGGGAAGCTTGTGGTTTCTGCCATTTATGATGGTGGTTCTGCGGACAAGCATGGTGAGTGGACCTGATATCATTGATGGGCATACATTTGTCATGTGTGTGAATGGTGAAGTAATGTGATTTACAAAATATGTGCAAACATAGCAGTTTGTTACAGGGGATTTTTTTTTAACTTTTTATAACACTAGAGGAAGCCTGCTTACACAACTTGAAATGAAGTTTGTCAGATTATTTTACACTGGGGGAAGCAAGATAATCTTACACAATGGCAGTGAAGTTGGTTGTTGTCAGATAAAACAAAACATTTGTTTTTTCTCTGCCATAAGGTACATTGACAACCATTCAGGGGTATGTTCTTATACACAGTTTTATATAATGGGAACTTTATATACAGTGTGCCGTTTCTATGTATGCATGAATCTTTGCTGAACTTTTGAACTTTTCATTTGATTGATGTGATGGGTCATTTGAACACATTTCACCACTCAATCAATCCAAACACCTGCCACCTGTTTCCTGAGAATTCTTTAACTTAACCTGGAACACAATCATAAACAAGAGGCTTTAGTTTCTCTCACACTTACTTCCATGGATCTCAGTTCAGTTCAGTGAACTATTTGAAGTATTTGTCATATGCACAAGTGCAATGAAATGCAAAAACATAAACACAGAATAGCAGCAGCAACAACAACAAGTTAAATAACATACAACTTAAATAAAGTCAGACAAGCAGTGTGAGCAGAAAAAAAACCAGACTGACACTCTGTAATTCCTAAACTGTGTGGAAATCAGGACAGTTTCACTAGTGCCCTGCAAAAGGTAGATCGTATTGTGGCCACATTTTTTCTATGTTAGTACCTCATAAAAGAATCTATGTATTTTTTATGTATAAGATGTACAATAAACAACAATAAATCAATGGTGGATAAAACATTCCAAAACCAGTTTATGCATTTGAGTTTGAGTTTGTTTATAATATATACTCTCAATTTGTTCTAGTCTTTAAATTATGTCCCTGTAAATATACAGGAAGTTCCAAAGTCAGTATCTTGTGTGACCTCCACTAGCTCAGTGACTGCAAGGTATCTATACTCATCACATGTTCTGGCTGTTTCAGTTACTAAGTTTTGCAATTAAAGAGGTGAGTCACCCTGATCCGTCTATTTTTCATCACTATTGTGACAGGCGGAGGTCCTAGACCTGCCTTATCTCTTACTTTATTTGCTAACCATTTATGTGTAAGTAGCATGTTATTTTGTTGTGTACCCTAGAGCGCAGTAGCGGCCTGCTTGCTGAGGCTGTTTTCTTCTCTGATGAATGAATGTGTGAATATGTCTTAACAATAGGGGGAATAGTAAAGGGAGATGAGATCATGGCTGTTAATGGAAAAATCCTAACTGACGCCACTTTAACAGAAGGCCAGAATTCCTTGGCTAGAGCATGGAACAGTGGTGGGGTAAGAATGATACAGTATTTACTGGGGTGTCTATCCTTTTAAATTTAAACATTTTAAATTCTCTCTACATGCCATTAGTACAATCCCATTGATTTCTTTTTGCAAATATGAATTTATTTAAAAAATAACTGCTCAGGCAAAAGCGTTCGTGTATTGTTTTGGAAAAATTCAATATTCTGATATGGATGGGAAAGCAGTTTAGTTATGATAATCAAATATGGGAAATGCATCATCTTGACTGGTGTAATAATGTTTTGTAATATTGTATGTCATAAAGGTCTGTGGAAGACATGGAAAAAATTTAGTCAATTTACATAAATTCATTTTTGACTAAACTACTGCTCGCCTACAATAACGTACATGCTGTTGGGGAATTCATGATAGCTTCTTTATGGCTGCTGTTATATCTTGAATTTACAGGATTGGATTGATCTAGTGATTGCTGTGTCTCCTCCAAAGGAATATGAGGATGAAGTGTATGTATTTTCTTCTAATCAATCACTAGCTTTCTTTGGTCTGCAGAGGAATACAAGCATTTATTTGACTTGTTCTAAATCCATATGTGGACAATAGCTAAAGTAGTAATGTTGCTCATTTAATGTAACAAAAAATGCGTAAGTCTTTTGTATTTAATTTAGCAGGCTTTTTTATATTGTACCTTTCACTAATATGTAGTTGATCATTTGAACATAATAGACATACTGTAATGCATGTAGAAAATGCTAGCCCCAGTCAAATGCACATTAAGGTCGAGTAGGTAGCTACAGTACATCAGCATGCGTAGGCTGCAAAGGAACAGGTGAAGGTTTATTCCATGCTGGAAAAAAAAGTGACACAAAGTCTTGGCTATGGAGTTTTCTTCAGGTCTGCTGAAGGTGCTCCAGCTTTAAAGGAGGTTCCAAATCCAAAACATTGTCTCTTTTCTTTTCATCATGGAATAAACATTTATCTGTTCTGATGCACATTAAGGTCAAACATTGCCCAATAACAGAGGAGAATGGAGGGTTGTTTGTGCTTATAGGTTTTATTTTCTTATGGTTCGCTTTGCTTTACTGACTGCACCACATAACCAACATCATATGTGATGATTTGCTTCAGTGATCAGACGATTATCGCAGTCTTTAAAACAAAGCTTTAAAGTGTTTCAGACCAGGATTACATTGTATATTGCATTTTGGGAGGGCTGTTTCATTGTCCTGAATGAGCGACATACAGAGATGATCCTATATTTTTTCTATAATTGTTTCAAGAAAATGATGGTTTTATACATTAAAAGATTTAATAGTTCTTTTTCAACCCTAATTTATAAAATGGTCTGCAAAATAAATGAAATGAGATATGGGTGTAAAACCTTGGAAACATACTGTAAGAGGATGCATGGTACAAATTTGCAGTCTGACCCATCCCTACTGAATGAGTAAGAAGAGCCATTTTCACAACCTCAAAAACAATTATTCATTTCCTCTCTTTAATACCAGTACTGTACTATTTGTATGTTCAGCCCTAAAGCAGCATCAGTCAGTCCCACTGCAAACAGAAAGGTTTTCGAAGGCAGCGCCTCTGTATACAGACAAGGCTACCTGCTCCAGCTGTAGCTCCTTCAGTTTCCTAATGGTAACTATGTAGTGACCTGGCGTTTTGGTGTTAGACTTTCAAGGGCATGTATCAATGTATGCATCATCTTCATGTCACAGTCTCTAGAGCTATTCCTTAATCAGCCTTGTCTGTCTTTTGTTTTACTGGTTGAATGTAGAACAACACACTGTACAAAGTACACACAGAACAGCCATGATGTTATTGTTAACGTGAATTACCTGTTTCTGAATGACTCAAGTGTGAAAATGCTTGGTTTAAACCTGTTACAAATACCATGATTTTCAATAGGTTAGTCTATATTCCACTCTCTTCACCTACGTAATTTGTAATAATTGACATTTTGTTAAATAAAATGTCGATATGTACTGTATAGACCTCAAAGAGTATTTTGGGGCTGTTGGTAACCTTTAGCAGTAGTTCTGATTGATGTTGTAATAAGGGACTGTTACATGTTGTGGCACATACAATATTATATCCCCAATTAATATACCTACAGTGCTTCATTTCTTAAAACAGTTTTCACAGCATGTTGCATGCAGTCTTCCTTTAAGTCCATCTTCAGGTTTAAGGTATCTGTTCTTATTCCATTGTTAATGATTCAGATGTGTGTGTTTTAGTCCAATTAGAAGGTCTAAAACAAGATGAAGGGAGGTTTTTGGAGATTGAAAGCAAATATCGTAATCTTTTAAAGAAATAATCTTTCTTTAAAGCTGATTACATTAAAAGAAAGCAACACTGTTTTCTACAGGTTTACCTGAATGTGTATTAAGTAGGAATACTTACCCACTCACAACCGAAGAAACATTGTTTCCTTTCTTCATTTTTCAGCATGGAATAAACTTTTTTTCTAAACAGGAATACTGTACTTCATCTTTTGGTTTTCAAAAATTATTTTCAGCATAAAAGATTACAAGAAATGTAGTACTGCTTGAATTATTTTAGTATTGCAAGTCATATTTAACTCAAAATGTGTTTCATTTTTCAAAATCAACATTTTTATGTGTTTTAAAGAGTAAAGAGCTTGACATTCTTATCATTTTTATCACATTTGTTGAGGTGCACCTACATATTGGACCGCCAGCTTGTTCAAATTTTTATAGCAATGAATTGTGTGTGAGATTAAAGGCTTACAGTACAGTACATGACTTAGCTTTTTTAATTAAAACTTTTTTATTTTGTTTTATTTGCAGGACCTTCTTTTAAGAATCAGAAGACAAGATGGATCCTTTGCCTTTAGGAGTGTCTATGTTTACTTCATTGTGGTTAATTATTTTTTTTTAAGATGATCATTTTGCCTTGAAAAAGAAATTAAGCTGATATTTCACAGAATATTGTACAGTCAGACAAAGCAGTCTTTTGATCTGCTTCATGGAAATATAAAACACTTAATGTTTGAAGTGACTGGTGAACCTCCTCAGGGATCTTCTGAATAGCACTTCCCTAATAGTCCTTTAACATAAGCAGAGACATCTCCTTAACGATGTGATTTCTTTCGTATGAGCTTCTATCACACCCTGACTAAGTAGCCAACAGTCTCATATCAGTGTTCCTGAGACCTGCCAACCCTTTTGAGAAAAGGCCACATGAGGTTTTTTTTGCTTACAGTATGTTTTGCAAGGCCTGCATACTTATAGTTACTGTCTCAGTGGACTTCCCTACTAAGGCTGCTTTCAGGACAAGTGGCAGTTTAGTATCTGTTTTCGCCAAAATTAAGGAAGAAATCATGTGAAATTCATCTCATCATATAAACATTGTGAGTGTCATAGTGCTTTATTGTGACTTATTATACCGTGGGAATAGCCGAGATAAAAGTTATATTGAAACAGACATTTATGCTTTTGAAATGAATTCAGGAAATTTGTTGTTGCTGTTTATTAAATAATTATTTTAAGATATTTTAAAAACAATAAGAATGTAATATCTGTGTACACTAACATTATCAATTGCCATTTCTACAATATGTGTGTAATTATGTGTTGCAACAAAGTCTGATATAACTGATAAAGTCCTGCTGTATTTTATTGATAGTGGCAAATTTGTCATTGATGTGCCTTTTTGTCAAAAACATAAAATACAGTTATCACGCAGTGGCACAAGGTCCAATCCTTGCAATTTCAGAATTAATAAAATCCTTATCCCAGATTGAAAAGTTCTGATTGTTTTGTGTTTTTCTCTTGTTTTTCTTTTAGAATTTCTTCTAAAGAGAACACAAAATAGTAAAGTATTATAGTCTTGATCTGGCCTCGTTTTTTGCCAAGTACTTAGTTTGTGAGACTCCGAGACTGAGATACTCCATGTAGGTATCTTTATATGACTTTCTGCTTTAATCTTAAATCAGTCACTTCCTCATTACCTTTATATTGGACAGAGTCACAAACAAAGTGGCCTGAGTTCAACACAGAAATGATGTGGACTCATTAATGCATTTTAGACTTTTAGATTGGTCCTAAAGCTCTCATTCACAAATGAGCAATGTGCTCTTGGATGTGAAAGTGCCGCTGTCCCCTCCACAGCGTCCTTTCAATGATACAGTACGTTACCTTCAATATTTCAGAACAATGATCGTGTGGAAGAAGTCTGAAATACCCTTCAATCACAACCTGTTGCATTCGTTTGCGGAAACCATTGTAACTGACAGAAGGATGTTCAGCTTACGTTAAGTTAGTGTAAAAGCTAACAGCGAAGTCTAATATTTTTCTCCTTGTGACAAAATGGCATTCTTTTATCTTTTCAAAATTAAAACTCCTCGTTGAATACTTCTCTCTACACTGTGTATCTGAGTTAAATTCTAGTTTACACTGGGGCTTAAAAATCCATGCTGTACAATCGAATGCTGACATATACAGCAGAATAAAGCAGCACCTCGGAAATCCATAGCGATCTCAGAATTTAATAATGTCTTATACTGTTCTGTGTCCAATGAAGTGAAAGACACTTAATGCAGAATGGATGAAGTGTTTCTTCCCAAGAATTCAGTTTAAACCGTGCTCTAAATGCGTGTAATGAAAATATCAGGTGTATACAGTTGAGATTATATTGGATTCATAACGACAGGAAGGGGGCGGTGTTCTACTTGTCCATTGCCAGCTGACTATCAATGATATCCATCTGTGTGCACTTCGAAATCTTTAAATGAGTTGTAATTTGGAAATTGTATCGACACATGTGGTTTTATTTTTGGACATAAAGAAATGTATCACACTTGTTTAAGATTAATTCGATTGAACCCTCATTAAAAAAAAAACGCACTGATATTGACAAATATTCCAGACTTTTACTGTAGTTGCATTTTTTTTAGAAACTGACAGTTAAAATAAACGTTTTTTACTTTGTTGTGTTTGTACAAGGATCCGTGTGACACTCGCATTAACGTTTGCTGCACTGTAACTCCAAAAGTTTACCGGAAAGTCAGAGCGTGGAGACGAAGACTGACTCTTTCCAATGAGAAAATCAAATTGGTTGCCTGGCATATAAACTATGAATGTCTTAAGGAAAACGCTTTAGATCACCATGTTCTAAACCTGATATTGATGGACAGATTTTTTTCTGTTTTTTTTTGTGTGTGTGCGTTTAATATCAGATTTCTGTTTGGCGCTTATTTTAATATTTGCTTTTAGTTCCCTCACGTCAAATGGAATTTGTAGATCGTATTAATCCTGTACCAATCTCTGGCTTTCGGAACTGTCTTTATGCAGATATGGTGCCTGAAATGGATCTATGCAGAATGAAACACGTTATGTTATTTAGCTTGTTGCTGGCTGCTGGGTTTGTACTGTGTACATGTTAGGTGATTCCTTAATTAATGCCTTTGTATTGGAGCATACAGTACATACAAATAAGCATCTAATTGCACTTGTGCATATGAGAAATCATCTGAACTCAACAAACTAGCGTGAGTAGACTCGGTACTGTACACTATCAATTCCCATATATTCCTCATAATCTGATCACCCGTTAAGAATTGTTTAGTCTGAAATAGGGGGAAGGAAGATGTGCAGAGGCTGCTCAAGTCCCTTATCGTGAAGCTGAAACAATAAACTAGGATTCGGGTGCTGGTGAAACTCGGGAAGGATTGCAGAGACAAGTAAACCAGTAGTCTAAAACAAGCAAACAGATCAATTAAAGGCAACCTGGTGAGCTCAGCTAGAACAAAACACGGCGGAGTGTGTCGTACCCTAGTTGCCCCCGCGCTCCGCTCGGGACCATGGTGGGGAACCATCGCTTTGGAAATAGTCGAGAACACTTGAGATGATCATAATATCTTCAGAAGAATGTGTGTGAATGATAGTATAGTATATGATCATATCTTGCCATCAGAATGGAAGAGACACAACTTTCCAAATACCCAACAAAGAAACAAAGCGTGCCGTGTCTCTTGGCGTGACTATCTATCGGTTCAGCACCTTGGACAGCGCTGTGGAAATGCATGCGTGTCATGTGGCGCTAGGACCCATCTACTGTGTTTCTGCCGGCGGTCTGCCAATGTTTCTGTGCGTGCTTGTCAACATCAATAAAAAGGATATCTTCACAATGGGATGTAGGCTGGAGTTAACAGGTTTTCTGACTCTTTTCTAAATTATCACAAGTTACATCGATATATATCGTTATATACAGTATAGCTTGGAAACTTTCGGCACAGATCCAGGTACTGTTACATGTCTAGTCACAACAGTACTACAAGGAACACAATGTGAATGTATTACTACTATTCGTCAAAGAGGATCGAATTGTGCACTCGAAACAATTCTTCATTGAGTTTGCCGTGCGTATTGGAGAAGTATTCATATGTTCGTTTCGATATATTTAGTCAACGGTGGAAACAACATTTGTGGATCAAGATGTTACCGCGGTACAAACCAGTAGGTGCTTTTTCTTTCATTTATTACTACTATGATTGATTATCTTGTCCGTACTTGTTTTTAAGGTCAGTGTACAGGAGGTGCCTAAAACTATAACGAACAGTAAAGCGTTAATGGAAAGCCGTTTGGGAAAAAAAAAAGCGAAATAGTATTTGCGTCACAGTAATGCTACTTGACAAAAACATTCCTCACACAGATCGAGTATTATTCGTGCTTCCTATAATATATTAAGTATAATTTCATTCTTTCTAATGATGGTATTGTTATCATTATAATTGTTATTAAGTCAGTAGGGGGTTGAAAATTATCCCATTGTTTTCAACGTTGAAAGATGCTTTCTAAATATTTCCAGTGTAGCCCTTTTACATGCGTTGTCGTTTTGATGGTGGAGTCTGTCTATCATTATCTTGGCTTCAAGATATTATGAGGCAGTGGGTCAGATCGGTCAATTCTTTTGTTTCTGCTATACTCACTACACTCAGTCGCGTTCTCTCATTGTTGAAGGTATTTTAGCTGGTCGTATGCACAGCATGGTGTTGAAACATGGCCAACCCCCACCGTAAAGGAAGCAAAATCGAATACCTTTCATACGGGTTTCGCTTTCTGAAAATATATTTTACCAAATGTATATTCCCGGTGGTCTACACTTGCATTTATTTTAGCGTTTCATCCCGAGAAGTCCTCGAACGGGAAACCATTCTCCGCTGACGGACTGTATGATGCTGCACACCAGAGTCAAGGACCTGCTTTGCCTAAGCTGGCCATATGCGTTACTGTACATTACCGTGGCATTAATTATAGTGGCTATTAGTTATAAAGCTTTGACCTTTTGAAGCGCAAATTATCTCCTCCTAAAGTAAGTACTGCAACCCACCGCCTTGATGTAATGTACTGTGCCATCGACACGCTTGACATTACGTGATAGGTCTCTTACCAGATAGCCGAAACAGTGCCTGTCGTTTTCCACAGCATTTTAAACACATTTGGTTAGCGTTATTGCCTTTATCTCCATGGCCAAGTTCCTATTGATCTGTGCAAGGAATGTGCAGTATAAGGAATCTAACGTAATTAAATATAAGCAGCAAATAAACGTGGTCAGTGTTCTGCACACAAGGTAGCAACATGCAATAATGCAGACCCTTGTCTAGACTCTCAACGCCGCTGGATCTGTCAATAACCTGACTTTCAAACCAGAATAGTAATTCTTAAACTGATATTTTTATCGTTGACAAAAGCAGATTAATAATTATATTATTTGTTTTGTTGATGAACAATGGTTTCAGGGCATATAAATCTATGTCTTTATGGATTTATAATATGCGGACAGTTGTAGAATGAATTAATATAAAAGCAAGGGCGCTTTTATATAAACACTGGTAGTGTTTATTAACACTTGCAATGGTTGAACTGAAAGCACAGTTCCCGAAGGACATTTAATAAAATGTTACTATCTTCATGTCAGGTTGATGGACTGCCCATCCCTATCCCCTGTTGTTCTAAAGTGTGATCTCCTTGGTGAGAGATTGTGCAAACCTCAGTCTGCTTTGCCTTTAAATATTTAATAGTGCTACAGTATGATTGAATGCATTTGATATTTTCTGCTAGAAACATATACAGTATATTGCTGTTATATGCACAGCAGATCAGGTGGAGTTGTGTGCAGTTCTTTATCGTTTGAATTCTGGGAAACTTTAGGTAAGTTCACAATGGAATTTAGTCAGAACACTGGTGTTATGACTTTTACTCTGGCAAAAAGTGCTCTTGGCTGTTTTAATGACTAGGTAGTAAGTAGTCTTTAGTGTCTCTTCTGAAGGAAGGTACAGTACTTCCTACAGCTGTGTTCCTTTTAACATCCCATGGCATCGGGTTGTGAATTCTGGTCTGGAGGGAGGAGAGCCATCTACTGGCCCTAAGAACGATTCAGCAGTAGGCAAAGCAGATTGTTATTCAGAACAATGAGACAGTGCTTCAGTCGTGCTGGCACCAGTTAAGCTGCTTATCTCATAGCAAGCGGATCCTTATTAACATTCACAACCCAAAAATCAAATCATCATAATACGGCATTATGCAGAAATCATAAATTAATGACAAGATGAATATATTAAACGTAGGAATATGAATTCTGAAAACAAAATAGAACTTTGAAGCCAGATTACTTATAGTATTGCATTTCATATTTAAAAATGGGATGAAACATACTGTAGGCAGAATCAGTACGGATGCTATCTAAAGCATCTGGTGCCTATCCTGGAAGTACAAGTACAGACCTATCCAAGGTGTCTTTGGCATGAAACCAGAGCAACCAAACATTAGCTCACAAGAATGCAAGAACTTGAGTAAACCTTGCAATGTCCACATAGACAGACAAGAGAGGTCAGAATTACAACCAGTTTCTTTTAGCTACTGTATGTGGAAGAAAAAAAGTAGAACAAAACAAAGAATAATGTCATGTGAGCATTGCAGAGGTATGGTATATTCCAGACCAACTACTACAGAAAGATCAAAATGAGATTTCTGTCCATTATTGCATATACCTGAAAATTAATTGCAATCTGCACACAGTAATTTTGAATGTAAATCACATTAAAACAAACACCATGGAATTGTAAAAAAAAGACATTAAAAAGTGTTTTCAGTAATACTCAGTGCTAGCTGTTGACATATTAGTACTGTGTTTAATAATGGACAGGAAGAAGTTCAGAGTCCTTCACATCTTTTTGTACAAAAAATAACACTGGTGAATCTTAAATACAGTAGGTATTTATATTTATATATATATACTGTGTATATTCATTTGGTGATGCAGCAGATACAGGTGTGTTTTCTATTTCTATAAGGTTAACTCAATGTAATATGGTAAGTATCAATACTGGCTACTGTTTCATTTATGTATGTACACATATATGTAATATATTTTGTGCTGTATACGAATGTATTAATGTGTTTTTCTGGTGTTTTAATGTTATTTAGCATATATTAGAATCTTATATACAGTAACTCCTATATGTATTCTGTCAAAACATAGTGAGAAAAATCTAGGAGAGAGAACCATTTTAAATGTCCTCTTTGTGCTACGGCTTCAAAATTAAATGTAATGAGCAATATTTTTTTATTAATTAAGATTTAATTCATGCAATATGCCTGAAGCTTTAATAAATGTATAAGGAAGATATAAATGAAAGTGTTTGTTTTGTTAGTAGCGTAATGCTAAGTTTTGGAATCCAAATTCACATTTAAGAAAATAATTAGCCATTTGATCATGTATACATAGAGATCATGCATTTATAGTTTTAAATTGAATTATTTATTTGAAGAATGAATGCTTTAATTCAACTACAGACCCACGCACATATGATGCACTTCAGCTCTAACACCTACAGTAGGTACCCAGTCTGCCTTGCTACAAGGACACGCTGTTATTGATAAGCCATGTTAGGAACCATGCTTTTCAGTGTTCCTGATGCCTCTGAAGGTTAATGCTGAAACCGTCTTCGTGGAGCTTGAAAAGTAGGCATTTTACATGTGTGTGTTCTGGCAAAGAAGTGATTTGCATTCAGCTGAACCAATTCAAAAGGATGTCTATGCGCCGGCACGGCAGAACACGATGCAGGCATTTCTCACCGCTGAAAACATTGCTTAGACTGCACTGGAGGGGGCTGCTATCTGGATTGTGCTGTGAGTCTCCTGTAGCCATTTCCCTCAGCATCTCAGAGCAGCTATGTAAGAAAGGGGGATATTCATGGAGCATGATTCCTGGGATTTTTGGATTTGGATGCTGTTTCTCACTTTGGAATAAAATGCTCTGAGGCTGTCCCTGTATCCTGCTCTTGTGCTCACAGAGTCCGAGCTCCACCATGTCCTTGGCTTTCTGTGGTAATGACAACAATTCTGCTGCTTACAATGTAGACAAGGGAGTGCTTAACAACGGTTGCTTTTTGGATGCTCTCACCGTGGTTCCCCATGTGTTCCTGCTGTTTATAACCTTCCCTATATTATTCATTGGTAAGTCCTCATACTTTAAGGTTGTGGAATGCTTGTATTGTAAGACATAGTAAGCAGTGTGAGCATGTGACAGTGTACTGTTCATCATAGAGCTATCCTTGCAACTTAACAGTGAATTGCCTGTTTTAGAATGAGGAGCTATAAGGGGAATCTATTTTTTTTAATTAGAAAAGATTGTAAAATAATATTTTTCTAATTAGATGATGGTAGCATGGAAGATAATGATTAGGGGAATACAAATTTATATTACAACAATGAAATTATAGCACTAGTTTAAATTTATTTGTTTTTAGATCGTTCAGATCATAAGCCCACTTAAATTTTTATTGATTGGTTGACAAAGTCACTCACTAATACCTCTGAAAATGCAAGGTTCTGTTACTCATTTATAGTGTTGTTTCTGCTGCAGCAATATGTACAAAGTAGGGTACCTTGGTAAAGAGGAGGACTGTCCCCACTACAATTTGAATCTCTAAACCTTTAGACTGGAGTCTTGACCACTGCTTCACACTGCTGTCTGGTTGCTAGCATATTATAGAAATTGATTTGTGCCACTGGCTGTAAATTAAAACCCCCTTTGGATATTGTCATTTCAATCCAAAAGGTAATTTCTTTCCATTTCTTTTTAAATAAAAGTAAGTGGTGTTCTGCTTCCATATAGGATGGGGGAGTCAAAGTTCAAAGGTACACATTCATCACAGCACGTGGCTGCACTTCCCCGGCCATAATTTACGATGGATCCTGACGTTCATTCTGCTGTTTGTGCTGGTGTGTGAGATTGCAGAGGGCATTGTGTCAGATGGGTAAGTGGATACATTTCTAGTTTTGGATACTGTGGCTATTTTTATCATGACAAGGTGTTAACTGCTAAAGGCTGATTTGCAGAGAGCCTTCCAGCTGTAGAAAAATCTGTGAATCGCCATCAAGTCACAGAAAACTCATGGTGTGACCTAAATTAACACACCCTTGCTTTAAATCTTAAAAAATAATCAGTTTTAGTGTGTCCTACAGTACATAGCTTATTTGTAGCACAAATAACTTTATTTATAAATAATATATAATCTATGATACACAGTGCATGCAGCATTTTTAGAATGAAACTCATATACCTGTACACCATTGCCCATTAGGACAAGGAAAGTGATTATCAATGTTCAAATCTGTTTTGAAATAAAGAGTCAAAGTGTGCAGTGTAAGATTGTCATCCCTAGTTGTCAATACAAAGTAAAACTAAAAACCACGACTACCCTGGATTTAGTGGAATGTGCAGTCCCCCTGTCCTTGAGTGGCTAATTTGTATTTGAGATCCACTCTAAAAATGTGCACCTCCCCCTACAAACAACACACATACAGTACAGCACGTAAGCACATTTTTCACAATTTTGAACCTACTAGCTAAATTAATTCGAGCTGTTCCACTCTGTTGTCATCATACAAATTATACACATTTATATTTGTTAGTAAATTTCCTAACTGCTTTATCCAGTACAGGGTCGCAGGACATCAGTCCACTTCAGGGCACACACAATTCCAAACATTCACAGACTCGCAGCAGGGCTAGCTTATCCAGAATCCAGTCAACTTACCAGTCTGTCCTAGGACTGTGGGAGGAAACTGGAGCACCCAGAGGAAACCCACGTGAACATGGGGAGAACCCAGACGGACAGCACCCCAGGAATTGAATTCTCTGCCCCGCTGTGTTGCATGCACCGGGTTCAGAGATATGTTAGATTTAATGGCCATTCAAACGTAAGACTGCAAAAACTCTCACTTTCTGTCAGCAAAATTTTTTTAAATTATAACAAATAGCATCTCGTAATATCTTCTTACAAGAAATGGGGAATGACAGACATATCAGTTAAGTCGATTTTCTTAATGCCGGTTTAATACTGATTCTCTGAGTGCACAGAAACTAAGCATAGACTTGGACTGAATTCGGGGAACATGCAAAGGGTAACAGAATGGCTGTAATTTGGTAGCTTCCTGTGATAGAAATCTCTCACACAGTGACCAGGGCTCTTGGACTCTTATGGTAATTACCTTATTGTTTATGGATGCCCCCCCCCAGATTTACATTCTGTGATTTGACAATTTCACTGCAGTTGCAATATTCTTTCAGTGAACACAGGCAGATCCTATGCATAATGGATGTGACCCGGTCTTGACATCTTGAAAAGAACAGCAGACAAATTGCCTTTCGTGCATTTATGCTGATCATTATTGTGCCGTTTCTGCTTAGTTCAGCTCTGTCAAACTACAGATGATGGGCTGTCTTTGCATGGTAAGACTCTCTGCTTTTGTACAGGTGTACAGAGTCCCACCATCTGCATCTTTACATGCCTGCTGGACTGGCATTCATGGCTGCAATCACATCCATTGTCTACTATCACAATATTGAAACCTCGAACTTCCCCAAGTTGTTGCTGGGTAAGTCGGAATGTAACGATGTTTCCCAAGTTCCATTTTCTTCTGCTGTTGTTCAGTTGTGGCCTCGATGCAGAGAATTCTTTATTGGATTTGTTCAACAGGATATTGCAAGGAAGATTATTTTCCCATGACCAGATGTCACATTCAAATATCCTTTCTTTCAAAATCCTGTACCCTCTCAAAACATAGACAGAGGCTGTAAAATCAAATTTCACATGTTGGGTTTGTCCTGAAAGTGGTTGCCCTGGATTTGTTGACCTGCTTTTATTAATTAATGGTTTATGATACAGTAGCTTCATCTGTAATATATATTTCAATCTGAACAAAAGAATGTAAAGAGACAAGCGAGAGGGCTAGATTTAGCTAAGAGGTGACTTGTGTATGTGCTGTATTCTGTGTATTTTCAGTTTCTTAAATACCTTTATGATATGTCTGGCAAACATCTAATATACTCTAATCGTTATTTATTTGCCCTTGTTCAGGTAGTTTACAGTTTTTGTTGTACAATACAGTAAATGCAGGGACAGTGTTTATCACCCTTTCTTTTCTAGTAAATTGCAAATTGTTTAGTGTGAAACAGAAATTATATTTTGTTTATTAGAACCTTTGCTTGTTTCTCTCAGCTCTTCTAGTCTACTGGATCTTAGCCTTTGTCACAAAGACCATCAAGTTTGCCAAGTACTGCGAGCATGGGATTGGACTGACCCAGCTGCGCTTCTGCATCACAGGGCTGCTGGTGCTGCTCTATGGGATGTTGCTGGCTGTGGAGATGAATGTCATTCTAGTGCGGGTGAGTACTATGGGACACCACAGCATCTGCCACAGGCCTTTTGTATAAATAATTTCTTTACAAAGGCTTTGAGAAAAAAAAAAACAAAGAAAGAAAGAAAGTATCTAGGACCAGAAAATAAGATCTGAATTCTTAAGGTGCATTGTGAGAGATAACCTTAAAATGCACTCAGGGATGAACCTGTTGATCAAGCCTTTTCACTCTGTTTTACCCCATTCTGTGTGCCTCATGCACCTCCCTTGTCCTATTTAATGCTGTAAAGGGAATTACAATAATCCAGGAGCGGGAAATAACAAAGTGATAAAATGGTGACAGGCTTTGTTAAGTGTATTGCTTTACCAATCTTCTATACTACTACCATTTAAGCAACTAAATAAGGTACAGTGTGCAGCATTACATTAGTTTTCTACTGAACCCAGAATGTGCTACTGCAGGTCCAGCTAACGATGAGTACACAAATACAGCTTCTGTTATCAAAAACACTTAGCAAATGGAGTTTATAATGAAAGTTTCAGAGGGAGGGACCATGGCCAAGGTCAATCCACCTCAGCTGTCAGTAATTTCTAACCATTTCTAACTATAAAGACTATATGTGAACTATAAAGACTATATGTGAGCCATTTCTCTCCCTCCTATACATCTTTCGCATCCCTCTCCATTCCAACACTACCTGTGCAGCTGTCCCTAGGTCACCCATCACTCTGCAGGGGTGCCGAGGAGATCAGCTTGCAGACAAGCAGGCTAACCTAAATGGCTAAACTAAATTTACCGTGACTTCAACATCAAAAAAAACTTTCAATACACTTAATTTTGTTATTCCTAGTGAAATAGAACATGTGCACTCTGGACTAGTTAGTGAGATTTTCTTCGTTGCTCTGTATTTAAGGCTCTTTAATTAGGTCATTCTATTCCTTTGGTTTTGATTTTTGAAGCTCTGAGGCTAAAATAAAATAATGGGTTTTCTACAGTACATTAACTTGCAGAAACAGGATGATTTCTTCAGACAGACTAATACAAACTGTTGCAGAGAAGTTATGTATGTAACTCATTATGTAAGGAAGATACAGTATGAATAGATTTATAGATTATTAAATAGTATCTTAGAAAACAAGGTATATCTTTTTTTTTGTTTTCATATCATCCCCAAAAGAGTGAATATTTGCACAATTCCAGATAAAAATCATGTCAAAAGTATGATGTTCAAAGTGTCAGGGTAATTTTTATTCCCTTCCTCACTGAATTACAGTACTAAAATTGTAAATGTTTTAACTTAGTACTTTTTACATTAAATAAATTGTTCATTTTTACAGCCCTACATGTATATTTATAATACAATTCTATTTAAATAGAATGTGTATTTTATAAAATACAGTAAATTCTATATTCCATATCATATCCTATTAGTTTTTGAAGCAATCTGCTGTGTAGAGTTCATGTTTTCAGTATATTGTTAGAGATCCCCTGGGATTCTTTGAAAGATTAGTGCTGATTACCCCCTAGTGCCCTGACTAAATTCCTCTCTGGTTTTGAACAATCTGACATAAGTAAGGTTCCTCTGTAATTCAATTGCTGAAGAAATTTAGCAATAAAGCATATAATACCTCCTGTGTTACGCAGTGATGGATGTGAAACATCAGTGGTAGATAAAATGAGTCCCCTCATATATGTACAGTAAAACACTCTGGAACTCCACAAGATGAAAATTGCTACAGTATGTACAGTAAATGCAGTTAGAAATAATTTTCCTGGAGATAGTCAAATTCATTGGCATTCCCTTTAACTATAAGGAAGAACACTGGAACATAGCAAAATTACAATCAAGAGGAGGAAATATGGCACTTCTAGCATTTTAAGATGTTTCAACCTTTTGAATGAAAAATGTTCCCTGCTTTCATTTTAAACAGCATTGAAATGAAAAAGTCTTAGACATTGATTTTCTCATTGTCTTTGAGCATTTTGCCTATTTAAACCAGGTCAAACAGTTTTGTTTTCCTATGCAAATAATAAAAAAGATTCAGTTATTTCAGTCTGTCAGTGCAGGATATTTCTTTAAACCTCAGACTGTGTTTGGTTCTTCGTGATGTGACCAGCTACTAGCTAACAGATTCAGGATGTTGGGTATTGGTCATGAGGCAGTAACTATTATTCCTCTTTAAAAAGACCTTCTACTTCCATTTGGTACAATAAGCCTGGGGCATGTACTACTCAGCATCTTTTATAAAAATGCAGAACGCACTGAAAGAGAAATGCTTTCCTTCAAAAAAGTGACTGTTGAAACTGCAACATAGTTCTTTATTAATAAGTACAGAAAAAAATTGTTATAACGCAAAACCTTTTGCTGTTGGCTTTTTTAGCTCTTATAATATTTTATTTTTTATGTTTCAAAACATGTTTTGAAAACTGTAAATGCAAAATGATGTCAGTGTCAGACACATGATGTTACTATGCAATATATATATATTTTAAATATTTGTTTATAACAATGTATATTTCTTATCCGTGATCACACTTGAGAGAACAGAAAGCAGTCTTAACCAGAAGGTTAAGAAACCACCCACACTAGTAAAAGATGTAGTGATATCAACAGGGACTCACTTGTATATTTGCTAATTGACATGTGTTTGTAATGTTTGGATAAGAAAGTAGTAAATGTAGAGTAAACCTCAAGACCTTTTAAAAGACCTGAAAGAAAGAGTATTTATTTTTATGGACAAACAAAGCTCTAATTTGCTCATATGCTTTGGCCTTATACATTATGTACTGTAGTTGTCTATTTAGTAGTTGTACAATAATTCATAATGTAGAAACTATATAGTATTGCTTCCATGCTTCTGAGTATTATGGAATAGGTTGAATGAACAAAGATGAGCCATGTCATCATCATCATCATCATCATCATTCGTAGTAGTTTCAGAGCATAACTGTTTTAGGTTTCAATTTAATGCAATATCATTCTGATGGAAAATAATCTTGCAACACGAAGGGCTCTTTGTAACAACAGGGAGTGCAGAGTGTTGTTTTTCTGAAAGCTCCCAAAGTTCAAATATAAAGGCTTTTTTAAAAGTATTTATATCAATAACAATAATGGTTACTTGCAAATTCTGCCATTCTCCTCTGCTGCCAGCATTCTGCTGACCTAGTTTGGATCTACAGAGAAGAGTAAAATTACCCAGATTGTATATCCTGTAGCTTGAATGACAAGATTAT